TGTTTTTATTTCTTTGTTTCTAATTCATTTACCTTTTTATCTTATTTTTTATTGTTTTTACCTCTTTGTTTCTAATTCATTTACTTTTTCATCTTGTTTTTTATTGTTTTTACTTTGTTTCTAATTTATTTACTTTTTTATCTTGTTTTTTATTGTTTTTAATTCTTTGTTTCTAATTTATTTACTTTTTTACATTTTTTTGTTTTTTATTGTTTTTAGTTCTTTGTTTTTAATTTATTTACTTTTTTACCTTTTTTTCCTTTGTTTCTAATTCATTTACTTCTTTATCTTGTTTTTTATTGTTTTTACTTCTTTGTTTCTAATTCATTTACTTTTTCATCTTCCTTTTTATTGCTTTTACTTTGTTTCTAATTTATTTACTTTTTTATCTTGTTTTTTATTGTTTTTACTTCTTTGTTTCTAATTCATTTACTTTTTCATCTTGCTTTTTATTGTTTTTACTTTGTTTCTAATTTATTTACCTTTTTATCTTGTTTTTTATTGTTTTTACTTCTTTGTTTCTAATTCATTTAATTTTTTATCTTTTTTTTGTTTTTTGTTGTTTTTACTTCTTTGTTTCTAATTTATTTACTCTTTTATCTTGTTTTTTATTATTTTTATTTCTTTGTTTTTAATTTATTTACTTTTTTACCTTTTTTTCCTTTGTTTCTAATTCATTTACTTCTTTCTCTTGTTTTTTGTTGTTTTTACTTCTTTGTTTCTAATTCATTTACTTCTTTCTCTTGTTTTTTGTTGTTTTTACTTCTTTGTTTCTAATTCATTTACTTCTTTCTCTTGTTTTTTGTTGTTTTTACTTCTTTGTTTCTAATTCATTTACTTCTTTCTCTTGTTTTTTGTTGTTTTTACTTCTTTGTTTCTAATTCATTTACTTCTTTCTCTTGTTTTTTGTTGTTTTTACTTCTTTGTTTCTAATTCATTTACTTCTTTCTCTTGTTTTTTGTTGTTTTTACTTCTTTGTTTCTAATTCATTTACCTTTTTATCTTGTTTTTTATTGTTTTTACTTCTTTGTTTCTAATTCATTTACCTTTTCGTTAGTTTTTTTTTCTTTTTTAATAATTGCCGCCCGTGGCAAGAACGGATAGACAGAGAGTCGCTCAGTTCCCCCTTCGATGGAGAAACACCGATACACCGATTTTTCTCGATCCTGGTCGCCCGATCGATCACCTCAACCTCGCGGAGGAAAGAAAATCTCTCCTTTTCTCTCGTTTTCCCCGGCCGTCTCTTATGAAGGGAGATCGTCGATCGCGAAAGATCGACGCGGCCAACGTGGAAATGGCAGCAAGCGAAGGCAAATGTCATCTCGGCGTGTGGTGGAGGAGCGTCTTCCTTCGCCTTCCTCGGCCGTTAGCCGACCTTTCGAAGAGACGATTGAGAAGGAACGCTTCGAAAATCTCGAACGATCTTTTTTCCTCTCTTGCGTTTTTTTCAAATCGATCGAGGAAACGATAAATGGGGATATATATATATATATATATAAGGATGTCACGTGTTTTTTCCACGTGTATCCTTGAGAGAAGGAACGAGATTTAAATGGGACAGTTTGTTCGCTCTTGAGAGAGAGATCGGAGGCAATGCAGTATGTACCTCCTCCGAGATATCTTTTCCAACGAAGAAAGTACTCCGGTACCGTGAACTACCGTCGACTCGTTTCTTGGAAAGCTGGATTAGAAAGTTAGCGAGGCTATCGATAAACGTGTACTCGTATCTCTCGAGTATTCGGGCTTAAGAGCCGCAAATGTAATATTGTCGATAGGAACGTGTTCGAATACACGTTTCGTTAAAACGTTTTGTTAACTTAGAAAAGAAATGGTGATAATTCGGATTCGTGCGAGGTTTATATCTGTAACGATCTGAAAAATTCTGGAAAATAATAGGCTCTAATAGTATCTCTCGAGTCAGACTTACGAATCGAAAATGCAACGCGTAGATAAGAATTAAATGTTTCGTCAATAATATATTGAAAAGAATTATATGATGATAATAATTGGATTTATTCCTGTAACGATCTAAAAAATTCTATAAAATGATAATCTCTCAGACTTGGCGAATCGTAAATGCAACGATAGATAAGAAAGTGTGTTAAAAAAAATTCGATGATAATAATATTCGATTCTACGATATTTATTTTTGTAAGGATTTAAAAATTTTATAAGATAATAAATAATCATATCTCTCGACTTATGAATAGCAAATACAATGTTAGATGAGAAAGTGCCTCAACACACGTTAAAAAAAAGCTCGGTGATAATATTCGCTTCATACGATATTTATATCTGTAACGATCTAAAAATTCTTTAAAATAATTTCTTGAATCAGACTTACCGAATCGCAAATACAACGATAGATAAAATAATAACCCCATATCTCTCGAA